CCAGGCCACCAGCTTCCCAGCCCTTGGAAATGTCTCTGTTGGTTAAGTCCAGCTTTCTGAAAAGAAGCCACATGTGCACTCTCCTAGCTCTGTGCATTCTAAAACACTTCTCTCCATTCTTTCTTCAATCTCATGACTTAACAAGGTATTGGTCAAGTAAAACAAGCTGGAGAGTTATCAAAATGCAGGGCCAGGTATCCCTAAGACCACAGTTTGTGCTTTGTAGGTGTACCTGTTCCTTTTCTCATTGCTTTGACTGAAAAGAAGCAACTTAGGGGAGGGAGATTTTCTTTGGCTTACAGTTCTAGAACCAGTCAGGAATCAGAGGGAGGGATAAAAGTTGGTTCTCACATTGCTTTCTTCTTCTTCCCTCCTCCTCCTCCTCCTCCTCCTCCTCCTCCTCCTTCTTCTTCTTTTTCATTTTAAGACCCTAAGCCATGTCATGATGTCACCTGCATTTAAGGTGAATCTTCCAACCTCTATGAACTCAGTATAGAATCACCCAGGGAGTTGACAATCAATATTAACCATGCAAATGCGTTTTAGATAAGAGAGTTGGTTCAGCCATACCCTAGCACATCCCTTTGTAGCTATCCTTCAGAGGACATTGAGTTGGAAACACACATGCAGTGCTATGTCAACATGACATTTTGTGCATGCAGATGTTACTATAACTCACATTGTGCCCACCATCCATCCATTGGGCTCTTAGAATCCCTATAAAGTACACGTCATACATCCAAGGAATCCATACAAGGAATTCAAAGTTGTCAGGGAAGTTAAGCAGTTTGGTTTAATGGAAGATTGTTTCTGGTGCTGAGTTCCTGCAGCCCTAAGGCTGAGCATCCATAGAGACTGGTACTGAGACCTGGCACTGCCTAGGATGGCCTGACCGTGTTGGTGGATCAGTCTGGGATGCTTAAAGTGCTTACGGGAACCAACAATGCTTGCCAACTGGAGGCAGCCTTACAGTCTCAGTCGTCCTCCACAGTGATAATAAACCAGTGGAAACAGTACTTGATACAGAAATACAACCTTCAAATGGTCTTTCCTGGCAACCCCCTCCAATGGTCCTCTAAAGGGGCCTTCTGACCTCTGCTGATCTGAAGATTCTTCTTGATGCTCAGTCTCTGTCTTAGCTAGAGTTACTCTTGCTTTGATGAAGCACCATGACTAAAAACAAGTTGGGGAGGAAATGGTTTATTTGACTTAACTTCCACATCATAGTCCATCACTGAAGGAAGTAAGGACAGAAACTCAAGCAGGGGAAGAACCTGAGGCAGGAGCTGAGGCGCAAAGGCCATGAAGCAGTGCTGTTTATTGGCTTGCCCTTCGTGGCTTGCTCAGTCTGCTTTCTTTCTTATAGAACCCAAGACCACCTGCCTAGGCATGGCACCACCCACAACAGGCTGGGCCCTCCCACATCAATCCCTAATTAAGAAAATACCTGCTGGCCTGCTTCTAGGCTGATATTACTGAGGCATCTTCTCAATGGAGACCCCCTCCTTTGCAGTGACTCTAGCTTGTGTCAAGTTGACATAAAACTAGCTAGCACAGTCTTAAGAGGGAACAGATAAACTGTGAGCTTGGATATGATGAGGAAGGGAAGCTACTGGGGCTGGGAATCCTGCACTCCAAGGCTAGGCCTACGTGCCAGTTCCTTGGCTTCTGGGAGGTGGTCAGAGCAGGATCCAGGGCCTGTCCACACATTTGCCTAGGCTGCTGCTTTCCCCACTCATTGGGCACCTTAGGGTGTGTGTGTGTGTATCTCTCTCTCTCTTCTCTGCCAGCATTTCACATCCCCTCCCTTTACTGTGACACCATCAAAGGCCCCTCTGAGGCTTCGATGGCTCTGACCTCTCCAAGGCCAACCTCAGGTCTGACCCTAATGACAGACTTTGTGTACATGACATACTTTCTGGGAATGCATGAGATCCTTGCCAAGGCACAGGAGGCCTCGAAGAACAAAGGAATCATTTCTGGTTGTTCTTCAGCAGGCGTGTGAGCATAGCCACTGGCAACAAGATGCACATTCTGGGGACAGGCTGGACTTTGTTCCTGCCCACACCCCCTGCTTTGTGGGAGCCCTTGGACCTCTGTGATTTTGACACACACTTCCCACTCTGTGTTCTCACTTGGAGGTCAGAAGTGTCAGCCTAGAAGACATCCAAGTTTTTGCCCATCTGTAACTCATTTTGCTCCACTGACCCAAGAAAGTACAAAGGAACTTAAATCTTTGGGTCTGGAGAGGGAAGGGTGGCATTGTCCCAGAGTCAGCTTGTCACTATGTCCAAGTTCCCATTGGCAACACTTAACAGCTATAAGACTTGGAAACCAAACATGCTCAGAGAGGCCTAGGAACCTGCATGGGCTCTGTGTTGGCAAGAAGCAGAATCTAAGATGTTTGGGTCTGTTGACTCCAACTATAGGCTTATTGTAGCTCGTCTCTGCTGCTCTGTGGGTTCTTCTTTCTTCCACCCTTTTTCGTCCACCCTTTTTCTTCAACCCTCTAACCCTAGATAAGAGAGAAAAATGGATAGAGAGGAAAAGAAAAAGACCTCCGAATAAAGTCAGGGGTGAGAAAGGGGTGGTGAGATTATAGTCAGACTACTTCCTGCTGATTAGGAGCGGTGAGTTCCTTGGGGCAAGTTTGATCTTTGCCCTCAGGATATCTAACTTCTTGTTGTTTCTTCTTTGCACACGATTACTTAACAAACGGTGACCACCAATGAACACCACCAACCAACAATCCACCCCGCCTCTCAGGGCCCTAGCATTTAAATACCTTCTGAAAAGTTTCCATAATTTCAAATGTCATACATCGCAGAAGCTAGCTGCAGCTGGCAAAAATCACGCCCCTACTAGAACAGGAGGCAAATCATAGTCAGCTGCTGTGGACAGTCTGAAGCAGGCCCATATCCCACACCTGGGACTAAAATGAAAACTTATTCTTATAGTATTTCTGTGGGTATGCGTTGTTTTTGTCTTTGTTTTAGATTTATTTTATTTTTATTTTGTGTACATGAGTATACTGTAGCTGTCTCCAGACACACCAGGAGAGAGCATTGGATCCCATTACAGATGGTTGTGAGCTACCATGTGGTTGCTGGGAATTGAACTCAGGACTTCTGGAAGAGCAACGAGTGCTCTCAACTGCTGAGCCATCTCTCCAGCCCTATTTCTATGTTTTGTTTTTTGTTTTTTGGTTTTTTGGTTTTTTTTTTTTTTGTTTTTTTGAGACAGGGTTTCTCTGTGTAGCCCTGGCTGTCCTGGAACTCACTCTGTAGACCAGGCTGGCCTCGAACTCAGAAATCCGCCTGCCTCTGCCTCCCAAGTGCTGGGATTAAAGGCGTGCGCCACCACTGCCCGGCTGTTGTTTTTTTTTAAACAAAATAAAATTCCAAAATTGTCACTACAGCTTACCCTCCCCCTCCCTCACCCAGCACTGCAAACAAGAAGAGCAGGTGCTCCTTGAGTCATAGCAGTTGTTGGCTGGGCTGCTCCCTAAGGATCAGGCCCTGGGATGAAAAGGTGTCTGCTGCTGCTGCTGCTTTTATTCATTTCATGCAGTGTGTGTGTGTGTGTGTGTGTGTGTGTGTGTGTGTATAAAACTGTTTTGCCTGCTCATGTGTCTGTGCACTGTATGAGTGCAGAGTGTCCATTAGAGGTCAGAAGAGGTCCTCGGATCCCCTGGAACTGGAGTTGTAGTTGCTTATGAGTCACCATGTTGGTGCTGGGTCCTGTGGAAGAATAAGTCCTTTTAAGAGATGAGCCATCTCTCTAGCCCTGTATGACCTCTTCTGTCCAGTTGGCTTCCTCATGGGTCAAAGAACCAGTAGGAGACAGTGATTAGCCTATAGAAATGACACAAGATCCCAGAGTCTAGATGGTCCCAGGATGGTGACTGTTGTTCTCTTAACTGTTAATAGTCTCCAGGGAACACCCCCATGGAGAACTGGGAGCCTCTGTCATTCCCAAAAGGATAGAGACAGCTCCAAAAGCTCCCTTCAGGGTACCTAGGCTTATGTAAGCTTTTTTATGGTTCATGCCCCAAGGGCTAGGTCTAGTGTGACTCAGTAGGTTAGACCCTGGACTCCATCCCCAGTGCTCCCAATAAATCTACCGCAGAAGGAAACAACACAAAGCAGGCATCCTTCTCACGGCCTTGAGTTGTGATTAACTGTGAACCTGAACTTCAGCCACCAACCTGAGGGCTGCCAAGGCTCTGACCTCACAGAGCTGGCAGGAATGACAGTGTTCTTAAGAGAAGCTGCTGCCTGATCCCTTTGGCTTGCAGGCTATTGAACAATAGACACCCCCCCCCCCAAGAAATTGGAAATTCCCCAGGAATTGCATGCTGGGAGAAGGAAGAGACTGAAGCCTTGTGCCAGCCAGGGGAACAGCTTGTCTCCCAGAAAGAGATCTCACACAATTCTGAGAACTTGTCAGAGTACTTTGCACAAAAGACTGGAACAGAGGCAGAGATGGGTCACTGATGAGTAGAGCCACACCATGACCAGGCCTGTTTAGTTATATATGCCTCTTGCTTTTGATTTCAACCAAAAACCTCATTTTAGGATCCAAAAAATGGGTGAGGGTGTGGCAGTGACGGGGCTCTCTTAACCTCTTTACTTTTTCCTCACAATGTGACTACATTGACTACATGTCTCTTCTCTGTTTCTTCTGTTAACACATTTCTTTAACTGAGCCACTGAAGACAGGTGGCTGAGCATAGCTCACTGGGCTGCCAAGGCCAGAGGTCTGACCCAGACCTCAATAAAAACACTGGCGTGAGCAGCCAAACCCAAGGAAAATGGCCGCTGCCTTGTTGGACCCAGATACAGATAGATGGGAAGGAGACAAGGTCTCTGCTGAGGGGGATGACGCACACAGTGGGTCGGAGGTAGGGGACAAGGCCTCTGCTGAGGGAGATAGCGCACACAGTGGGTTGGAGGTAGGGGACCAGATGCAGGTGTTCACTGTCTGTCTTTTCTCCTCAGTATGGCAAGAAGAAGCTGAAATACCTGCCCTACAACCACCAGCATGAATACTTCTTCCTGAGTGAGTATGGTTGCCTGATGTCCCCAGGCCTGCTCTCACCCAAGCATGCCCATCTGGCTCACTTCCTCTCATACCCTTTTCAAACTGAGAAAATGATTGCATACCTATTCAAGAGAGGGGTGCCAGCAGTCAGCTTGTGGAAACACCCCTGGGCCCTGTTAAGCATCCATCATCTAGGCTCCCAGGCTTCTGAGCTATCCTGAAGGAGGGTCAAGCAGGCTCCGTCACCTCTGACAGGCACATGTTCTCTCTACAGTCGGACCGCCGCTGCTCATCCCTATGTACTTCCAGTACCAGATCATCATGACAATGATCAGGCGCAGGGACTGGGTGGTAAGTCAGGAAGTGATGGCTGGTGGTGGGGTAGCCTGACTAGGGGACTTGGCCCCTGGTGCCTCTGTGGGCCTGTAGGTCCCCAAACATCTCCCCTAAAGTGTAGCTGCTTTGTCAATTTTAGGAAGAAACTGTCTGTGAGGCTACCAGAGCTGAGGCTATAGCATGTCAGGTCTAAAGACACTTGGCAACCATTGTCCTTGCAGAGTCCCTTAGAAAGTTCCTGAAGGCAGTGTGAATAATCACCAGCAATAGAAACATTCTTTCTCACCGTCACAGAAGCCTAAAATCAGTTGTTATCAGGCTGGGGGGGGGGTAAGGTGGGGGTGTAGGGGTCCAGGTCCCCCTCCTTGACTGGTAGGTGACCAGGTTCTCTTTGTCTCTCTCTACATCATCTCCCTTCTAGGCCTTTCTATATCTGTGTTCAGGTGTTTCCCTGTTTTTCTAATGTGTATTTGTGTGTGTCTGTGGTAGCATGTAAATTTGCAGGTCTCCTTGCATGTGTGTGCATGTGGAGGCCAGATAATAACTGTCTTGGTTACTTTTCTATTGCTGTGACAAGACACCGTGACCAAGTTGACTTATAAAAGAAGGAGTTTATTGGAGGATTACAGTTTCAGTGGGTGAGAGTCCACAACCACCATGATGGGGAAGATGGCAGCAGGAAGGCAAGCTGGAACTGTAGCTCAGAGCTCACATCTTGAGACACAACTATGAAGCAGGGTGCTAACTGGGAATGATGTGAACCTTTTCGAACGCATGTCTCAGAAGTCCCAATTTGGTGCTGGAGTCCCAGCGGATTCCTAGAGAGTAAGCTCTAACACCAATTGAAGGAATGCCACAGCAACAAGGTAGATTAACTTGCCGGCAAGAGTGAGGGCAAGCAGCAAAAAGAAAAAGCTTCATTCTTCTGTGATTCTTTTACTTGATTCCAGATGTAGTCAAACTGACAACCAAGATTAGCCATCACAGAGGGCACGTTTCTACCCAAAACAATGGGCTTAGAGGTGCCTCCATGGAGGGAGGCAGGCTATGTAGGCTTGAGAAGGCAAACTTGGGTTTACATAGAAGCACAGTTGTGATTTTTGTACAAGATAAACACCTACCCATGGTAGAGTAAGCTCTAAGGAATACTCACCACAAGCAAAGAGTTGTCTATGATGAAAACATGGTCCCTACCCTCAGGGGAGAACAGACAAGTATGTAGCCCCTTAGTGGATGTTCTTACCTTTTAAAATCCCATCAAAGGCTGGGTGTGATAGTACACACCTTTAATCCTTCACCTCTTGGGATCTCCATACATGTTTTATTTACTTAATTTTAAGATAGGCTCTCATGTTGCCCAAGCTAGCCTTGATCTTCCTGCCTCTACTTCCCAAGCCATGCCTGGCCATACCTCCTCTCCATCTCTCTGTCTCTCTGTCTTTCTCTCTCTGTCTGTCTCTGTCTCTCTGTGTGTGTGTGTGACATCCTATGCTTATGCACATAATATACACACATACATACACACATACATACTTATGCACTACATTCACGCAATAGATTAAAGTGGGGCTGGGTATGTGGCTCAGGCAGAGTACTTGCCTGTCATGCATGAGACCTTGAGTTTGAACTCAACACCAAAAAAAGAAAAAGAAAAAGAAGAAGAAAGAAAGAAAGAAAGGAAGGAAGGAAGGAAGGTCGGTCAAAGTACAACTAGAACTTGCTGTGTTCGCTTCACTTGACTAAGACAGCCACCTAACTCTGAGCATGTTGTATTCAGCCACTCCTGGCTGTTGTAACTGTTCCTCCTCTGGGCCTCCCAAGGTGCCCATCCCTTTTCCTACTTAGCTGGCAGCACTCTGATCACCTGGAATGATGCCAAATACCTACTTCAATTTCTTGCAACCAAGCAAGCACTGAACAAGGGTCACCCTTGTCCCCTAAATTGTTCTGGGATTTGCCATGTCTTCAACATCAACGTGGTCTTGGTTTTGTTCATTTTGTACTTGAACTAAGACACCAGTGTGCCCTATTCTGTTGTCATTTTAAGATCTTTTGTTTTGTTTTGAATTTCATGTGTATGTGTTTTGTCTGCACATATATCTGTACACTGTCTGGTGCCCACAGAGGCCAGCATATGGCATCAGGACACCTGGAAGTAGAATTACAGATAGCCATGAGCCTCCATGTGGGTTCTGGGAATTGAACCTGTGTCCTTTGGAAGAGTAGTCAGTGCTCTAACCACCTGTCTCACCAGCACCTCTTTGTGGGGGTCTCCCATTGTCTCAAAGAAGTGGGTCCTTGATGAAATAACCTTCTGCATAAGCATGGCTGGTCACGAGCACTCCTGACTGTAAAAAGTTTGTGCAAAGTTTCCGAGAGAGGATCAGGGTGCTCAGGGAAAAGGACCTGTGGCTTCTGTAGCCTATGGCCTATGGCCACTTGGCTTACATGGGAGGGTGTTGTAGCAAAGAGCTGGGATCTGCTGCAGGTCATTGGTTGCCCTGGATGCATGAGGACCATCAGCTGGAGAGCAAAGGGAGGCTCTTGCTGTCACCAAGACACAGCTTGAGTAGCAGAGGAAACGGAGGGACATGGATTTCTCAACAGCATGACTGCTAGTGAGGCTGTGACAGGGTGGAGGCTTCCCAGGGGAGCCATTCAAGCTTAGGGCCTTGCCACCAAAGAAGGGCAGACAAAGTGAGGAGGAGAGAGGGCCAAGAAGAGAGTCCAACTTGAGAAGTGACCTAGTCTGGGATGGGGTGTGTTCCGTGGCCTTTTTTGTCCTCAGAAAGGAAGGAAACCCAGGTGCCTGAATAGGGACAAGGCCGAAGATGGCTAGAGACCTGGCCACACATTAAAGGCTCCCATCAGAATCCTCTGGACCTACTGTCAACCTGCTAGCCAATATCCTATTTCTTTCCTGAAATTCACATGCAAACTCCATGCAAACAGTGGTTTAGGCAAGTGTATGACTGTGGGCCCAGTGTCCAACTTCCTAGCAGCCTGCTGTGGTTTCTTATGAACACCTGTGACAAGCAGTGTCAGCTGTGTATATACATGCCTCTGTGGTCAGGTGCACCATGCCAAGGAGGGCGGGGGTTAAGTCTAATCTTATTTACCCTACAGGACTTGGCTTGGGCCATCAGCTACTATGTGCGTTTCTTCTACACCTACATCCCTTTCTATGGCATCTTGGGAGCCCTGGTTTTCCTCAACTTTATCAGGTACCCCAACTTGGTTGGTTCACCCTGTGCTTTTGAGAGCATTGGCTTTGCTGGGGCTGTGATGTGAACTCTATACCTGTCATGGGGGTAGGGTAGGTACAGTAGGTCTGTTTCTATGTGGCTGCCTATCCCCCACCCTGAGGCCTCAGCACCGAGCTGTGCTGTCTTCTAGGTTCCTGGAGAGCCACTGGTTTGTGTGGGTCACACAGATGAACCACCTCGTCATGGAGATTGATCTTGATCACTACCGGGACTGGTTCAGCAGCCAGGTGAGGGGAGGAAAAGGTAGTCACGGGGACCCTAGAAAGCTGCTCCATGCCCATGACTACACCCAGATTTGGCCGGCTCTGTGGATCCAGGGCCATATAAACCTTCCCTAGGGGTACTTGTTGCCTGTTGGCAGCCTCAGAGCAAGAAAGGATGGTAGGAAGGTTGGGGACGTAGCTCAGGTGGTGTTCGCCTAGCATACATAAAATCCTGGGTTGTATCTCTGTCACGCAGTATACGCAATGTGGCGGCTCATACCTATAATCTTAGTACTTGGAAGGTGGAGACAGGAAGATCAGGAGTCCAAGGCCAAGATAAGTTAAAAACAACACAGAAGGAAATATGGAAGGAGTGATAAGAATCTACCAGAGGAAACTCGGGAGTCTGGGAGGGTGAGGCTTTCAGATAGAATGGTATGACCTAGAGAGGGGCCCTGAGACCCTGGGTAAGGTGACCTTTATGGATAAGTCCAGGTCCTTTGGCGTTGTTCTTACACCCCAGCCACTGATCCCCTTTCCCCTCTGTAGCTGGCAGCCACCTGCAATGTGGAGCAGTCCTTCTTCAACGACTGGTTCAGCGGGCACCTCAATTTCCAGATTGAGCACCAGTGAGTGTGGCCCAGCAATGCTGTCGGGGAGGGGGGGAGGGGAGAGAATGAGCGGGAGGGCAGTGGCCACTTACCTGCAGGCCAAGGATGCCATGAGGCTTATCTTCTCTTGTTGGTAAGACCACTGCCCCACCCTAGAGCACAGCTGGGCAAGAGAGGGGCTCTGGGATCAGCGTGTCTTAGAGACATTGCTGTCTAAGCTCTGTGTCACATGGGCCATCCTGGGGACTGCACACCTTCATGTGTGGCCTCTTTGCAGATACAGAAAGCTTGCAAAACTATCCTGCAGACCTATAATGATCCTGGTTATTGGCTGGGAAACTGAGGACCAGCTAGGTAGCATATCGGGTACACAGGTGGCCAAAGGACTGTCCCATCCCTGCTGCCTCTACCTTCACCTCTTATCACTCATTCTTCTCATCTCCCATCTGTTTCTTTCATTTCCTTTTTTTTTTGGCTTGGTGTTGAACTGACATGGGTCTTCTGCCTTGGCTTCCCACATGAGGCCAGGGGCATGAACCCTGATACCCTTTCATTTTGTTTGATTTAATACGAGATCCTTGTGTTTGGCTGTTCAATACCATTGTAGCTTTCTGGAGTGCCCCTATTCATAAATTGCCCCTCTACACACTACTAGTCACATCTGTAGGCAGTTGGTAGGTGCCACAGTCTTGTCCTGGTTTCAGATGTGACCTGAGACCTGCCTGCCTCCCTGGGTTGGGGAAGAGGTGGAGAGCATGGGTCTTGGGTTGCGCTCACTCTGCCCACCTGCTCCCCCAGCCTCTTCCCCACTATGCCTCGGCACAACTTGCACAAGATTGCCCCACTGGTGAAGTCTCTCTGCGCCAAGCATGGCATTGAATACCAGGAGAAGCCGCTGCTGAGGGCCCTGCTCGACATTGTGAGGTGAGGGGTGAGCTTGACAAGGGCTGGAGCTCTGGGATACTGTGAGGTGCCAGAGATGAGGTGGGGCTGAGGAGGTGAGAGTCACATGGCTGGGCTTACTCACAGTAGGGCCTCTAGCTCATAGTAGGACTCACTTAACTCTAGTCCACCCAGGGCTAGAAGAGGACCTCCCCTCTCTACTTTCCCAGGGGTTTCCCTGGGGTGCATTAGTCAGTAGCCCACAGCTTCTGTGGTATCCTGTGGTAAGTGGCAAGCCCTAGTCAGTAGCTGAGAGGAAGCACCTGCCACCCCAACATGACTTCCTACGTCTCACTGCCTGGAAGCCAAGGTTCCTTTCCATCCTGTTTCCTCAGCCCTGGCCCTCTCTCTGTCTCTCTATTTGCAGTTCGCTGAAGAAGTCTGGGGAGCTGTGGCTGGATGCCTACCTCCATAAATGATGCGGCAGTCCTCGTGGCACCCTCGGGAAGGGGCACAGTTGGGTGACAGCCAGAGGGAGGGGAGGGCTTTTGTTCTGAAGGGTTCTCATGAGACTGAAGTGTCTGCTGGCTCACATTTCCCGTGCTTGGTCTTTCATCCTTTCTTGTTCTTCTCTTCCCTCACCCTGACCTACTCTATCCTCGTGGAGTTCCCCCTTTGTCAGCTCCAGCCCCATCCCCTCTGCCTCCCAGGCCCTTCTCCCAAAGAGCCAGAGAGGTGGCTGTGCCAGGTGGCTACATGTCTGCCTCTACCATCTTCACCTAAAGATTCCTGGTAAAAGGTTCTGCTCCTTGCAGCCTAGTCCCCACCCCCTACTGTCCCACAGACACTCTGGAGTTCTGTGGAGCAGGGGTCCAGGACTTGGCTCTACACTCCCTGCCAGCATTATGGTGTAGTCATTTGGGTGAAGACATACTTTGTTCTGAGTGTCCTTCCCATGGCTGGGATTGGTGCTTGAGGCCCAAGGAAAAGTTCTTCCATGCTTGCCATCACAGCTCCCGACTCTAGCGTTTGTACAGGTTCCATTTTACCATCTACCCAACTCCAGAAACCAAAGGGAGTGTTCCTTGTGTGGGCTCAGGAGAGGTAGTAGCCAGGTTAAAGGAGGGACTGACCAGCCTGGAGCCTTAATCTCTCCCACTACAACCAGGTGCTTCTTAGTTGAAAGGCCTAAGATTCTAGAGGGATCAGATCTTTCTCCAAATCCTCTGGCCAGTTCCTGATGGTTTAGAGTATCCAGACCTTGCAGGAGAGCCCGAGCAGCTCTCCCCAGAACAGAGTCTGGCCAGTGCCTGGCTTCTCATTGGCTCATCCCTGTCTTTATAGATGTTTGTTTTAGCTGTTACGTTAACATTTCCTACAGAATGCTTGTGGATAGGAGAGTAACAGAGGGCTGGCTGGGTCTTAGGACAATCCATCTTTACCAGATGTCCCTTGCCAAGCTCCCAAGTCCCTTCAGGTAGAGGTAGGCATCACCGTCAAGGCCACAGTGTAAGCTGTAGCTTGAGGCTGCTACTCTCGGGAGGGCAGGCAAAACAGGGTGGGTGGGGTGTCTCAGGAAGGGCCGTTGAGGGTACCCAGTGAGGTTCAGACAGGAGTGTAGAGGGAAGAGAAGGCTGAGGGCATGAGGGAAGTGTGAGGGCAGGCGGGAGGGGGGACGTCGCCTGTATCAGGAGGGATCCATGCTTTGTCATTCTGAGACCTAACTGGACTAACCAATATGTAAACTGGAGGAAGAGGTTGGGCCTGCACTGGGTAAGCCCTCTAGGACTCCATGAGCCAAGAGAGACCAGCTGGTGTTGCTCCACAGGGGCAGAGAACCTGTAAGGAGCTGGCAGTGATTTGCATCTCCTTGTTCCCCACCTCTACTTTTTTGGGAAATAAAAAAAAAAAGTAATTTTATTCTCACTTGCCTGTAGTTCAGCAAGATCAATGGATGGCTAACCTTCCCCCATGCTAATGTCACAGGTGTGGTAATACAGAGTCTGGGAGGAAAGGAGGTGCTGCCCCACAAGAGAAATGCCTGACTGTTAAGGCAAGTGGTGAACAGAACCTTGGTCTTCTCTCTCAGGGAGACAGTGAAGGTTCTGGAGACTGAGGCTTTTATTTTGTATTGCTGTGCCCATGTGGAGGCTTGGTGAGTTTCTACAGCCCAGGGAAGGTGTGTATCATTCCAGCCCTGGCTACAGTTCATGCACAGAGGGCTCTGGTCTGACCTCCAGCCTGGGAAGCCTGAATAATCTGCACCTGAGGTACCTGCCCAGTTCACCTTGCAACTGGACCCATGCTGCTGCTCTCTTGAGCATCCATCTCTGAGAAGGCTCAGAGGGCCATGTCACTCAAGAGATGTCAGGGAAGAGCCATCAGGCATGGGGTGGCCAATACTCCCGAGGTTTTTGTTGGCCTTGTAGCAAAGCTGGGGAGAGCTCCAGCAGAGATCTCATCTCCATAGGTGACCAGAACCTAACCATATAAGTACAGAGGAACAGTAGGCATTCTGTGGGGGTGATTCCCAGTGACTACGCTGTAACTAGTACAGGGTTAGGAATGGCAGACATTGTCACGGATCCTCTGAGTGGCCCTGGATGTGTCCTACTCCACCTCATCTGCCACAGTTGCCACCTTGAACTGTGGAATGGAATGCCTCCAAAGCTGACTTCTGTCTGGCTCCATGAGCCTTGGCCTCACCTGACTGATAAGCCCACGGGAGACTTTGGTGGTAGCAGACTTTGTTGAACACATCTTCAGTGCTTACCTATGTTTGTCTTCCACTTGCTGTTTGGGCTGGACCTGGCCCTCCCAATACCCAGAATGTCTCAGGCCAAACCCTGCCAACTATGAATGTGGGCTCTATGGCATCTGACAGCCAGAGATCTGGGAAGTAGGAGGGTGATTGAAGGGGACACAGCAGGGCTAGGTCTCAGCTGTGAAGGTAAATCTAGGCTCACATCCATGAGCTTTTATTTTCTCATACACACTCCTAGCTCCTGCCTTGGGCACTACCTAAGGTCCAGAGCAGAGGACATCCATTTCTGCTATCTACATTAAGAGCTCCTTTCTTGTTACAGTGCTCAGCTAAGGCTCTTGACCAATATCCCCAAAGTTGTGGGGAGGGTTCTGTCCCCTAACAAAGTCATGGACCTCTCTAATATTCAAAGACCAGCCTAATGAAACCCTAACATCTCACAGGCCAAGAAGCTGACAGCGGAGAGGGGAAGATACTTACCCTGAAGCAGCATAGTGATAGCAGATGAATCAGAGCATGTATAGGGAATTCCTGCTTTTACCCCAGTTGGCTTGGCCATCTCTTCCCCCTTTCCCCCATCATGCCAAATGTCATACTGTACATGAGGGCCCGTGGGTAGAGGCTGGCAGTGGGGCAGTTAGTCCAGGTGGAGGAGATGATAAGGAATGGGATGCTACTGAAAAAAAAAAACTCTACCCTCTTTGAGGTAGTATGAACATAACGCCAGACACCAGACTCAGAGGCATCTCAGGGGCTGTTAGAGCAGCCTGGACATCTGTGCTTGTCTATCTGTGTGTTTAACTGGAAGCCCAGAGGTTATCGGCAGCTTGACTAGTTCCTCATATGTCCAGCTGAACCCAAGGTATCCCTCAGGGCCACTGGGAGGGAAGGGAAGGCCTCAGGCAGGAAGGTATGCAACAGAGAGTTCAGCCACTTGGGTTACCATGCCTTGGGCCTATAGTGGCTCAGCTGGCTTGGCTATGCTGACTTGGAAAGGACTTACTGAGGACAGCTGCTGTGACACAGACCAGACAGCAGTGGGTCTCAGCAGGTCAGCTGGGGACCTGTGAATGGGCTGGAGGAAAAGACATGCTGTAGGTTCTAGACGCCGGTGTTCTTTTGATTGACAGAACTGCATATTTCTAGCTAGACTAGTTTCACAGAAAAACAAAACATAAAACCACCTAGTGTCTTAGGACATCACAATGTCCCCCACTGTTTTCAGCCAGCATCAAACCTTTTTTTTTTTTTTTTTTTTTTGGGACTTGGAAGGCACTTGGGGTTTTCTTCAAACCATTTGGTTCAAGACCTAATAATGCCTAAAAGAACTAGTAACAGGAAACAGAGCTTGGAAAGTATTGATGTCTTTAAGGACACAGTATGTTTACACATTGTCCTTTCGCAAGACTGTTATCACCCCACTACCAGCCGCACCCACAAAGGCTGGTTTATGTGAGCTGCCCACTGGAGTCTCTGGACTCAAGACTGTTGTATAAAGTAGAAAGGGAGACAGTGGGGTCTTTCAAAGGTACTACCAAGGCCTTTTCTCGTCTCCTTGATAAGTGTGGTCTATGATTTCTACAGGAAGAAGGACTTGGCTGAGTGGAGGTAACCCACTGCCAGGGGCTATAGCATACATGACAGAGGGGAAGATGGGAGACAAAGATGGCCTATCAGTAATGGGATCTGGGTAAAAGGAAGAGACCTAAAGGCAGGGAGGGGTCTCTGCAGGGTATTTTATTGAATAACTCTGGATTTGGAGGGAGAAAGCACACTCCCTGTGGCCACCACTAGGGGCAGCATGAAACAGTCCACACTGTTCATGTGGATACCCGTGGGTGGTGCTGCAGGCTGGGTGATTCCTCTGAGCAGGACATGTCCCTAAGCGTGTCAGAGACACCAACAAAAAGCTGACTTTGCCAGAGTGGAGACCAAGTGCTGCCAGACAGTTATGTCAAGGGCATGCCCTACCCTCCTTACCCCCCACCATTGGCCATACTTATGTGGTACTAGGATCATCAAAATTTGGATGCAGTGCCAACAGAAGTACAAAAAGACAGTATGATATACTCTGGGTATAAGAAATTTGCTTTTGAGGCAGGAAGTAGGTGTGTGTGTGTGTGTGTGTGTGTGTGTGTGTGTGTGTGTGTGTGTCAGGGTTTGAACTCAGGGCCTACACATGCTAGAAGTCTTCCTACTGTGTTACATCCCCAGACCCTTAAAATATTTATTATTATCATCTCAAGACAAGATTTTATTAAGTTGCCTTGGCTGCCTTTGAACTTGTGATCCTCCTGTTTCCGTTTAAGTACCTAGGATTACAAGTTATGCTTACAGGGCTTAGAAGTATCTTTCAAGGGATCTTCAGTCCTTACCTGAGGAAGAAAATAAAGTCCAGAGAAAGCAAAGGGCTAGTCTCAGGGAACAAATAGCCCAGAGGCATGGGATCATATGCATAAAGCTTTTAAATTCACTGCTGAGCCCAGCCTTTTGCTGAGAGCCTTCCTAAGGCATCCTTTTTATTTCTCATCACTTTGGAGGTGATACTTTGGCTTTGAGAGCTTGAATTCCTTCCTTGAGTCAAGCAGCCTTAAGTCTTAGCAGATATATGACTTACCCCCATCCACCTAATCCCAGGGAAAGAGAGGCAGAAGCTAAATGGAGCAGAACGAGGTAGGTGCCCAGCAGATGTGACCTCTGTTTCCCTAGCTTTATCCAGGAGGCTCCTACTGGTACTCCCCTAGGCAAGGAGGTCACAGGGAGTGGAGAGAGGGTGGGGTAGTCCACACAGCTGGTGGTGAGGCCTCAGCTCCTACAGGAGATCCCCAGTCTGGCATTTCTACTGGGTTTGCAACAGCCTAAAGCTTCTAAGACCTCTTTAAGGATCTGTAGCCCAGCTTGGAGCCATGAGGTGTCAGTGCTGGGACTGAAAGGGTCCACTGTCCCCTCTCCTTTCTCACTAAACTTGGGTTTAGGTCAAGAGTGGAGTATTTGCCTAGTGTGCCTACAGCACTGAGTGTGATTTTTTTTTTTTTTTTTTTTAGCACTAGGGAAGGGATGTCCTCCCAGACTGGAGTGCTTATTTAGCTTTAGTAGAAGGGAACATCCTTAAATATTTGGGGAGAGAATCAAGATAAAGCACAATCTTCACCTTGAGCTGTTCAAAGGTTGATAGGTGCACTCAACTGTACCCATTATCCAGGTGAAGATCCTGAGGCCAAGTGGGAGGTTAGCCCCTGCTCAAGAAATAGTCCTTAGATTCCAAGGACTTAGGGACAGGATGGCCACGCTTGAGTCACTGCCTATTCAGCACTACAACTGTTGTGCAATGCCAAGTCTAGCAGAGCTCCCAGTACTGGGCCCTCCTGCATAGAGGGCTATAGGAAGCCAGTACAGACATACAGGCTTTCCCATTCCAGAACCTAGAGGCTCCTGCAGGTGTGATCCTTAACCTTAGGCCCCTGAGTACATAACTCACCCAGGTGTGCTGCTCAGTGTAGGAACAAGCCATGGGGTAGAGCCTCCATGTTGCCTCCATGACCCAGAGCACCCAGAGTGGAGGGGACCTCCTTACATTCCATCCCAACTTGACACTGATACCCCCTCCACCAAGTCTGAAGCCGATTTGGCTCCAAAATCCATGAAAATCCAACACTTGGCTCCATGTCTCTGGGTTGCTTTTTATATAAAAAAATAACAAGTTTTCCCTCCAGTTCTTGCTCTAGGAAAACATGCTATGCTCACTGTGTCATTTTAAGTATGTTCCCTCCACCCCTGGTCCTGTTGGACGTGTGCCATGGCCATAGGGTTCCTGAACAGAAAATGCTGAGGACTGAGGAAAGCCAGCAGGACCCGGCAGGCAGACAGGCTGCCCCAGCAGGGGGTGAGGATGGCTGTCAATCTTGCCCAGTGGCTTGGTGACTGCTGGAATCTGGACCCTTACCCCCTTCACCACCCACGAGGGTGCTGCCTTCATTGATGGAGGTATGCATCCAGCCAGATGTCGCCAGACTTCTTCAAGGACCTGAGAGGTGAGGATGGGGATCAGGGACTCAACTGGAAGGTATTAGTAGCCCCCTGTGTCCCATAAGGAGTGTTGAGTGAAGACATTCCTATGAGTTCCCATTCCCCCCAGGACAGGCAGCTGTGTGGGGCC